AGAAACTGAAGTGACGTGAATGAAGTCAACATGGAGATGACGATGACGATGACAATGGCAATGACGATGTTTTTGAGTCTGAATACGCCCCCTTGCTAGACGCATAATTTGCATAAGTTTAATAGTTCGAGTTGCTTTCCTTTTAGCCATCTTATTCCGAACTAATAGGCAATTCTAGGAAAAATAGAGAAATATCTATTCTTTTTTTAGGCATATTCTTCGATTCCCAAAGGACAGCGAGACCTCAAACAGCGTGGAAAGTTTTGACTCCGCGGCTTCAGGCGAATCTCTATCCTCCAGTGATGGCAGCCAACAGCCATCCATCGGCCTCTGCTACTCAAATGACAAACCACCTTTAAGAGCCACTAGAAATACAGCACGCAGCCACTCAGCACACACACGACCCCCTAAATGCCAACCGTCTCAGCCAACTGGAAGGGAGCAAAGGGCCACTAACATCTACACCAATGAGGTAGATGCTGAGGTTTCCATGGAAATAATTAGACAACCGCCGGTCTTCAGTGGAATTAATAATAGACCTCAGAGAGTGATGTGAGTTTTTAAAACAGAAGTGCTTATCTTTAGTTTTAAAATTTATAGTATTTTAGCGCATCACCTCAAAATAAAATATTTTTGTTACCTATAATAACAAGTAGCAATTTTAGGCACGCGTTAATTACAAAACAGCAACCAGCAGAGACCAGTAGCTACGACAGCAATGCCTACGAGAACACCTTCCACGCGGTGTCTGGGGTATGCCAACCCGAGTCCATCCCAGTGCACTATTTTCAGGCCTACTACCCTCAATCCCACTTCAATTCCACCTACTCCGATGGGCAGATATACGACCAGCCGCCAGCACCACACCCAAAAGAAATGCGGGCGCCGAGAAATACCCGAAATTCTGGAAACAATAGTCAATACTGTAATGAGAGTCTTATACCACGGATGATCCCACCCGTTCCACCTGCTACAGCACCTGCATCTCGCAGACGATTTGGAAGAAGCAACTATGAGAGTGAGGAGATCAGTGGTGATGAGGGAGACGAAGAAGAGGATGAAAGTGGAAGTGGAAGGGGTGGAACACTCTCAAGAAAGCGACCGGCTCCACCAATGGGAGTTTTGACGAATCGGTACTCTAGAGAGAGTCTTAATTGTGTGAGTAGTGTGACCAACACAAGTGGCCTTGTTTGGTTCGCTTTTTTCATCCCCTAATCACCGACAATTTACCCGCTTCTTTTTTAAGACTGGCAGATTAATGGATAGACAAATGGCTGTAAGTTTTTCTTCTCAAATCTCAAAATACAAAAGAAATGTTTGTCAGGATAGTAGCGTCTTCTAATTTACAAAATAGGACACACAAGTCTGGCAAACGATGTACCATTAGTGTCATGTGAACGAGATGTAATGATCAAAGGTTGTCGACCAAAATCGTCGTCAAAACGAATCATGACTTATTGCTCCTACAGACTGCTCTTTCGTTCCTACCATGGTAAGCCGTCCCTTGTACAGTGATGTGATGCTGGTCAGTTATATCATGATTTTATTCAAGGAATATTTAGAAGTAAATTCCCTACAAAGTGAACCGCATTGAAAAGGAATTTATTTGGTCAGTGACGATAGCGGACACTCAGCATACTCCGATCATTGAAAGTTTCACAGCCGTGGACACTACCTTCAAATCATTGAAATTATGGAAAAAATGTGAATAATTTGCCGAGATGTGTTTTTGATAACCCTTTTATTGTGATACCGAACTTAGGGCTCTTTTTATAATCGCCTAAACCGGATTCGCCCGCAGCTGCAGGAGAGTTTACCATTACTAACTGGCGGCACAGTCGAGACGCCATAAAAATGTATCTCAAAATCAAGAAAAGAATAAAATAAACCTATTTTAAAGCTCTAATTTTGTCAAGAAAGAGTAGATCAAGGGTATTTCGATTTTTTTTTTGACTGAACGAATGAACACTTTCAACATTGGACATGTTAAAATAAATTTAGGAATCTTCGAAGACATTTGTGTAAGTGTGTCCGCTAATTATTATCTCAAAAATTGTCGGAAAAAAAAGTGTGCTTTTAAGTATGAGTGGCTGGCCTTCTTGAACTTCATTACTTTTATTTTCAAAAAGACAAATGATTAAACGGAGAAATTTGTTTAGGACTTAAAGCTACACAGAAGTGCACTCTTTTTCACTAATCACAAACGGAGCCGACTGATGATAACTTCATTTCTACCCAATAATATTTCTCGTTAATAAGGTAGTTAAAAAAGTGCTTTCGCTTTTTTTGATAAAAAACCAATTTTTTACGAAGTCCCATAAAGTCTTGCCCCTTTTGAATGGGCTTTGCTTGCCACCTGCACCTATGCAGCTCCGCCTCTCCCCACCCTCCGACATTTTGGGAAGTTGATGATCTGCAACAATCGCTACTTGTAGGAGATTTTGTCCCAAAGGAGGGCCGTATAATTATCCACTTTCCCTTTTTCCGCTATGTCCTCTGTCTGAGTCCGATCCATTGAATAAGGATGTGAAAGAGGCATCGTTTTTTTTTCCACATTGCTCGCATTTCAAGGTACAAATGTTGAGGGAGTTTCATAACCGTCGCCTGGTATCGTAAAATTGCCTCGCGACATTGGGATACTCGACAAAAATAGTGGTGTCTTCGACAGTTTTTCCCTTCTCCCCACCAATTTTGTCATACGCATGACATTTAGCATTGGCTAACGCTGTCACCAATGCTGTGCCAGTAATAATATCTGGAATCGAAATAACTTATACCACTATGAAGTAAATTTTGTCGTTAACTAGGAAATGGGCAATGGCGCCATAGGTACGGGGGGGGGGGGGAGACTATGCCACCAAAGATAGGAGTAGGGTCCCTGAAAATGATTCTACTTTCTAGAAGAATCAATCTATCCAACTTTAGTCACAATGATCCCTGAAAAAAAAATAAGTATGTAAAAGATATGACAACCTACTACATGGCACAGAGGTCAAAATGTTCGTGTAGATAAACACCGAACTGATTTACAAATGTTGTTCTAGTGTAGCTGAATACACCACCCTCTTACTTTTCGGGCCCACCCGGATTAAGTAATATCTTTAATAAAGTAGTCTTGATGCCCTTTCCCTTTTCTTTTTTCATTGCAGAAAGACGCTCACGAAAAGACGCCGGTACCGAGGGGAAATACACCAGCTAGGGCAACTGTACCACCCCATCCCCTTCCAAATTTGCCTCAATCGGCGTTGAAGACAAGGTTGACTCGTAGACAGACGGTTGGAGCGATTCAGACATTGGCTCAGACTTCGTCCAATCCAGAACCGACCCAGGGTTCACTCCAGTGAGTTCCCATAGCTACCACTTACGCAAGACTAGGAATTTGATTATGCAATCGGTAGGACACCTCATCCTTCCTACTCGTTTTTTCGGCTCATTTTAATGCAGGATATGCTTCTCTTCCCTCTTTTTTTCCTTTCTTCCTTCCGCTGACCTTTCATTCAACTAACTCAACATTTTAACCTTAGACCATTTCAAGATAGATACGGCTTTTGACAAAGTCTAGCCATTTTCTTTGACCTCTGATAATTTAAGTTATTTGATAAAATAAATTGACTACTTTATCCGCGATTATGAGAAGGAAGTTACCTCGGGGAGAGATGAAAGGTAAGGTGATATTCCAAGAGCTCCTGGTCTTTTTTGAATTAACAGAACCATTTCTTCAAAACATGGTTTAGTTGTGATGAGAAGTTGTAAAACCTCCCAACTTTTTACTTTTTAGTGATTAGATAAAGCAACCATAGAAAGGGAATAACTGACACATATAAAGGTCACAAATTTATGTAGTTTGGTTCATCGCCAATAATTCCCAAAGCTAATTGCTAAAATTTCCTCTCCTTCTTACCATTTTTGAAATTGTCTGTGCTTGTAGAACCAAGAAAATGATCCCTTATTCCACCTTCATTTCCAACTCTCTAGTGCGTTTTATATATGAGCATACCCTACCGCTTAAGAAAATAAATTGAGGAAAATACGGAGGAGGAGGATGCAATGTTATCGGCCCTCCTCCCTTTTCACCATCAAGTGGAAATCAACTCCTTTTTACGAGTAAATTTTGCTGCCGTAGGAGGCGTGGACTCCTAAAAGTCTAGGAATAGGACATACGCTTTCAAATTTTCTCTTTTTGGGTAAAAAGATCTCATCTGCGTATCTTTTGGCTTCCAGCAAGTGTGCAATGCTTGCTCAAACTTATCATACCCAAATCGGTATGTCGCAGACGTGTGGGGTGGGTGGCGGTTCATAGCTCTTGACAATAACGGCTATTCCTGATCATGTTTTATTCACCTAGCAGACAATGCAGATTAGTTGCGCTATTGTAATATCCGTAAAAGTAGTAGAAAATATTAAAGCGACTGCTTTTGAGATCCACACCTACATGTCGATGAAGGGGGTGGCAACCGTTGATAACTCATTACGAGGAAGCAAAAGTCATCTTTCCATTGTGATTCTTGACAGTAAGTTGTTCGTCCCCGCAACACATTCGAACGATTCTGTTGCCCCGAGGTAAATTGACTGGAAGTAATTGTGCCACAGTCACCATGGTGATGAATTTGCGGTGGTCTTAGTACTTACTCTTCCTCATCCATCAACACAACTGAATTCACCTTTATGACGAGCCTTTGATGTAATTCATCCGATAAATAAAATTTTGAACTAATCCAGCAGAATTGAATGGCATTTTAAAACGATATCGTCTGTTTCCCAGTAGTCCTTTTTTTACAAAAAGATGTAAAACTACTTTAAATTGTAAAGAAGAAAGACTGAGACTGAAACTTCTTTTAAGTTTTACCAAAATTTTAAGGTTGACCCTTAAAATTGTCAAGAAAATTGATTGCACAGCGAGAATTTTTTACTGACTAAAGGTTATTTGTCCTAAAGTTTAAAATTAATCAATCACACGGTTGTGTAATTTATAAAATAACCCTTCGTTTTTTGGAGTGGGAGAAGGCGAAAAAAATGATCGTCATGACACAATGTCTATTTATTAAAATTTAGATAAGCTTCTGTACAAGCAATTAGAGGTACGATCGAGGCCCACTTACTGAGACAAACACCCTTTTGTAAATTCACGTCCCCCCTTTCCTACGTTTCGCCCCCACTTCACTCTCCACTCAGCCTACACCGGTTGGACATTAAGATCATAGCATTTACTTTACTCCTTTGTACAATCGCGACATTAAATTTCTACGTCAGAAAATAAACTAATAAAATTAGAAATGTTCAGTTGTAGTGCAACAGCCGTTAGAAATCCGAGGGAAAGTAGCCAATGAGATGCAAGCACCAATCACTCTTAGGCACAATGTCTACAGCCTACCAATAGCAAGTAAAAGACGAGAGTTTATGGCTGTACGAGTGGAGGTAGTATTTCTTTGCATCCTAGCGCCCTCTGCCTCGCCCTATGCCTCTGTTGCGTGTGTCAGCGTGTATGTGTATCTAAATTATGAAGTTCTTGTCAAAACACGTCAAGAATTAGCACTCCGCACATATTCACGCACAGTTGCGGTATGCTTCTGAAACAACGACGTCTCAGTGTTCCAAGACTAAGCGGCGTCTTCGGAACATATCCTAATAAGCAAGAGCTGGGATGTGCAGTTATGCCAACTGATAACAGTTGGGTCGGCTCTCTGAGGTAAGTATTCACTTACCGCAAATGCTACATTTCTTGTTTCGTAAATCTTGGAGCTAGCAAGTTATTTTCTATAGAATAAAATAAACGAAGACTATAGCATAGGTAATTGCGTATGAATAGAGGGAGTTAAACGGAAAAAGAGTCAAAATGCGAGTTCTCAGCTAAAAGTTGAATTACCCTATGCCACGGGAGCCATAACTACTGTCTAGAGTGCGCAATTTCCGGAAAAGTGGGCGGAAGCGGGGTTTCAGGCACCAAATCTTTTTTTATAGAATGCAAAGTATTGTTTATAACTGATAAACTCGTGTGAAATGGCATTCTTTCTCACTAACATAAATATACATGCAAGAAACAAAAATAAAAAAGTGGATCGCCAAATTCGTTACAAATTTGTACCAATGAAATCCCTCTTGAGAGAAGCAAGCTATTTTGAAGATCTTACCTTTCCAGAATTTTTTTGGACGTTGTCACGTTAAGGGAGGTGGGGGGAATGAAAGGAAGATGCCGAAGGCAAAGTCGGCTTACTAATTGCCGTCAAGACTTGTGCCTGGTTGCCTTCGCTTATGCAAATGTTATGTTAATAATCCATCCCTAAGTCAACACCCCCAAAGGCATGTGGAGCCTACGGTCAATGTCAATCAAAGTCAAGCCCTAATGTTGTCAATATGAACAAAATTTAAGGTGGACAGATAGATAAGTAGGTACATCTGATGTCTCCCACCACCGCTACTTTCATCACTTATTGGAGGGCGAAGCTACCGTATGATGGCGAGGAAACTTTTTTAACCACCTGACAAGTGGTTACCAATGCTTGGATGAATAGGGGATCCTTCATTTGTTTATTTTTTAGTTTAAAAAGAGTGGTTCGACCCGATTTGGAGCAGGAACGGCATCGGGATACCTCACTACGGATAACTATTCATGAGTCGAAAAATTTGCCCTCTCATAGACGGTAAGATGGGAAGAAATGTCCCGTTTCCTTAATAATCTTGCTAATTTTTTGTCATCTATTTTGGAAAATTGCTTGAGAATTTTTTAAGGTCATCTTATGCGGAGCTGTTGTGCGCGGAAGCACAATTTTTAACGAAAATGATTAAATTTTTGCCTTTCTCAAATGGCTCGTCAAAAAATTGCCAAAATTTCCCAAGCAAGGGGGAAGACAAAAGGGTGACTTTCAAATCCTTTAATTCAATCCAGAGTAAGCCCTGGATTAGCCAAATCGAGTGTACTTCGCAAAATTTTACCTCAGTCTTTTCGAAAAAGGAGAAACTTCCCTTTTATACGTGCATATTAGAGGTTTATTGCTGAAAAGTTTACCTTTATGCACATCACTTCGAAAAGAACTGCGAGTAGCCGAATTTGCTTTTCCTTCATCGAAAGCTGTGCTACGAGGCCTTCTATCCTCCTCCAAGGTCGATGTGTTTTAACAGGATAAATCAAAGGTTATGTGAGTACTTCAGTTATTTCTGCTTCCTCGGGTAGGCATAGGGATGGATTACTTCAGAAAGCACCAAATACTTCCTTTGTTTAGCTGATGATCACCACAAGGTGGACACAACATAGTTTCCCTTTCAACGGCGGTCTCACTCTCCAAACGCCCTTGGCATATGTGCTTGTTTAATGCCAAAACGGGTGATAATCACCTGGAGAAATGTCATCCGAGGAATGTGGAAGGTAGTGATGAGGAGGATAGGGCAGTATCTTCTCCTCTCCCTCCCATCCTAATGAGTTAATCTCCACATCTACAAGTTTTGATATTTGAGGTCTTGCAAGGGAACACTTTTCTCTCCCTAATTGACTGTCCAATCTCCGTTCTTTTTGAGCTAGGCGTATGCCTGTACACGCTCCAGTGGCAATGGAGACCTCAGATGTAGTATTTGTTACTTGGCGTCTGCCGAAGTTATTCCTGGTGAACAGTCGTGTCCGCAGTCCACCGTACACGCACGCAAAGGAGCCGCATTTTTTGCGGAAATGAGGATGTGGTCTGGAAGTGCTCAACAAGCGTCAGGATTTGAAAGCTACTTCTCATCGAATAATCCACCGGACGGCGTATTTTTAAGACGAATGGCCTAGGGTAGCCATTTACTTATCATTCACGAAATATTTAAAAAGGCTGAAAGTTGCTTGACACAAATAATCTCAGCTTGTCAATATTGACATGTACTGGTTGAATATCAAAATAGAGAGCATCTCCTTCTAGATGTGATTCATCCATCTTCCAGTGACTCACCCTTCATCTGAGCCAAATTATTTTGCTAGTCAATTTCACTTTTTGTCACCTGCTACCACCAACCTCACTTTCCACCACATTTCACAAGAAGTCCCCACAGCTTTGCCTAGGCGTTTAACTCGCCTTGTCAAATAGGCAAGATCAAATCACGTTTACCTGCTTCAAGCCACACTTCGTGAATACAAGAGAGGGAGAGGATGGAGCTGAAAAAGGAGAGAAAGAAAGTAGAGCCAAAAGGCAAAAAAAACTATCCTATCGATGGATGGAGGCAGAGGTATAAACCATCGCCTGCACTTCACAAGTCTCCGTTGCATTGAGCTAAACCGGGAAAACGCACGAAATTTTCCACACGCATTTGATGTTTTTCGTCTTCCACTTTTTTTACCGCAAACTGCACCTTTAGAGGGGGATTTTATGAACTCCTATCGTTTGTTTACTTTTTGTCAACTTTAAGACGCCTATCTCTCACTTCTGGCGAAAGCACAAAATTTGACATTGCTGAATGTTTAAGGTGCCTTGTGAAGTGTGGGTCTTGGCTGCGCCCTTTTTCTTCCACCTCAACTCCCTGATCGTTTGATGTACTTTCACACTGAATGACCCCTTAAAATGTGTCAAATTTTTTAGGTACTTTTGTGACATTTGTTTGGATCGAAAACTCTACGCTCGAACAACGAGTAAACTTTCCAAAGAAACCGTATTTTGGGGTGAATGCTTCGACTTAAAGTGAGTGTAAAGACTTCCAAAGAACTCATTTTTGCCCTTTTTTCAATCCTAACGATACGCAAAAGTCTGTCCGACAGATAGACAGACAGGCATGTAGGCAGGTCGAGGCAGAGAGAGATTGCGAGGCGTAAACAACCTACCACTTGGATGTCTAGACTGGTGACGAAAGTCACCGTCCCTGTCAATGGCGTCGTCGCATAACACGCAACGGAAGTCAAGCTACACTGATTTTAAACCACCTAAAGTTAGCCAAACAGGATCAACTCAAGGAAGAGGGAACTCCCTTTAGCCAATTACTTGGACATTTCTGTCTTTTTTGGAGGTAGACAAACACCTCATGACAGTTAGCCATCAACCCATTTTTGGTATTATTTATTGTCTGGGGTTGTCCACTCCAGCTGTAGATTTGTCCACTGTTAAGTACCCCTTTTCTCTGTTGGAGAGGGAGAAAAAGCTTAACCATGGAATAGTTTGTCTTTGGTCAGGCAAAGACGTAAAAGCTACTACTTGAATGTCAGTGCACTTCATGCCTCGCAATACTTGCGTCATTCTGAATTTTACATCTTCAGCAACCTTGCGGAGCTGAACTTTATTACAATAAATCTCTATCGTGAAGCTGAGTCTACCAAGGATGCGTCCAAGCGACGCAAATCGAGCAAAGCACAAAATCAACTCATTGGTAAGTAGCGTCAACTTTCTTTAAAAGTGAGGCCTTATTACAGAGTAGGAAAGAATTGCTAGGTCTGATGGTACTGGTGAGGCGACTCTAACACCCTGTTACCAACGTAGCGATTAAATTAAGCCCACAAATACTGTGCCTGAGAGAGAGGTAAGATGGTGTTAAGATGCCCCAGTAAAGCGAAAAGACTTCTACTTTCCGATCAAAAGTTTTATGCATCATCTGTCAATTTTTTATTTCCCTTTCCTGGCAGCGAATAGTGGTGAGAGTCAATTTTTGTAGGGGGTCAAAAAGTCCCTAAAACTCTTATGATAAAGAAACGAAAAGGACTGATATAGAAAATCCCACTTATCGAATTCTACTACCCCTGGAAGTGGGAAAATTGACTCTAGTCACCCCTTTTCTGCCTCACTTTTATTACCCTACCATCTGTTCTATTGTCTAATGCTACCTTCAAGAACGAATGAACATGTTAACTTGGAAAGGCATGCAATAACCTGGGGGAGAGGAGTACGGAGGTGGGGTTAATATCCCCCCTCTAAAGTCTAAATCTTCTAAGGAGAAAAAAAATTTTGCTACAGTAAGGAAGGAGCACATTGACTGGGCCCTGACCGTTTCATAGGGCGAGTCGAGGTCCCACTTCCACTACCTAGTAATTCGCCTCCGACAGGAAACTCCCGGCAAATGAGCAAGTCATACGCAGAGCCAGTATCGCCTTTTGTGAATGCATAATGCATGGGTAAACACTGCGTTTAAGTACTTAGTGTAAGTAAACCATGTAAAATGGCCCATTTTGTAATGTACATGGAGAAGTTGAGGGACACATTGCTATCATTTCCGCTTTATTGTCATCCCCTCTAACTCATTTGGGCGTAGTCTAAGTGTTTAATCGTATTCCTTCTTGTTGTGGGTTGAAGCAAACGCTTTCCTTTTTGTGTTATCATTCACGCTAAACGTGACTTCAGGCCATTACATCCACTATCCTTCATAATTAAGAATGGGACACAACTGCACCTTGCTACCAAAAAAGGTTCAATCTTCTACCACATGCGTGTCACCATCTCCATCAAATACTACGAGAAGTGTCTACACTGTGGAACCGATTTCGACTAATTCAAACAAGTAGAAGGAGCCGAGTCATATTCACCAGGATCCAGTGGCATCTAATGAAGGCGCTTCACGCACATCTATGCTTTGTACTGCATGTATATAAACAGATGAACGCATTCTACAGGTTCCAATGAGTTACGCCAAAGTCTGTGCCAAATTACACCGAGGATCACATTGATTTGGCTGCCTGGTAGTCTAAAATTAGGAGGTACGCAATAGATTGCAATTGCTTGGTGAGAAGTGACCTTATTTGGAGCGTAGAGAAGGGTTGTCGAAACCAGTAGCATGGATGGTATGGCTAGAGCTCCATACTTTCGTCGTGGAAGTTGAATCCTAGATGAAGGAAAGGATCCACGCAATACATCATCACTCTGTTCATCGCCCTCTCATTGGAGAAACGCATTTAAGCAAAATTAATGCGTAACCTCCACATGACCTCGTAGTTTACGGCGTTTTGGTGAGTCATCAGAGCCGACAGCTGGTTTGCAAAATTGCTTCATAATTCACCATAGGTAATTTCCCTATCCCATGTTGGAAATAGATCGACTAGACCACCCATTTCGATGCAATGTACAGAAATGTAGATTCCCACCTCTCCTCAGAAATGATCAAACGTTCCTAAGAAAGAATTTAATCTCTTAAAGTGACACTCTGTGTTTAAAATGTCATTTGATGACAAATTTACCGAAAGTGAATATTTGAGTTCCTTTGGACAGTCCGTTGGACTCAATTTGTGCTTTCTTTGTAAAGATTGCTTACCATAAAACCGGGCATTACTTTTGATTACATAAACCTCTTCATCATCGGTTACTAAAATAAGGTTTTTTAAACCCTACGAAAATTACTTTTCCCCCAAATTTGATTTTTGACTCACTCTGTAAGATCCAAGTACCATATCTAAATATCAAATTTACTTAAAATAATTGCCCAAACGGAAGCCTTCCATTAAAAGTGGAATTTGCATCTTTTGCATGGGCAAGGTCCAACTCTCCTTTCCTACGATTCCAAAGTAAAAGCGATAAGGGCTGAATTCATCATCACCTCAATCTTTGTCTGTGCTTTTTATTTATACTGATTAAAAAGGCACGCGATTTCTACTGTTAAGCCAGAAAATGTTTATTTTATGACTCAGGGGAGAGAGCGCTAAAGGTCACTGTATTCTAAAAAGCTGCCGATTTCGTCACGGTTTTAGAAGAATTTTTTGACCCTCATAGGCTCAGTACAGGCTGAGAGGATTGATTTTCACAGATCATCTACCACCAACCAAGTTGGCTGCACCCATGCCAGAGGAGCACACTGTCGACGTTTCAGACTATGCTCTCGCCTAATGTTTTCAAAGCGATATTCATGCACTAAGGTAATAAGAAATGCTAGCAGATTTAATTCGGAAAACATTCCATGAACCTGGGAGATACTCTACAGTGAGAATAAACTGCATACCTGATTACTGGAGCACTTGCCTGAAAAACAGGAAGGGGAGGTGTCATCTTCCCAAGAACTATTAATAAATAATTGGGTTGATGGCAAAATCGACAATTGAAGGCAAGTTTTTGGTGGCAATTACACGATCTCTTGAGACTCAGGAAGGCACCAAGAGTTAATCAATGCATTTGAAAAGTCATTCTATTGTGAGCCATCGCAGATTCGGTTTCCCACAATAGCTGTTGTCTTTCTGTGACAACAAAGTCAGGATTGTTGTCCATAAGGGGTTTTTATTAAGGACCCGCCTTAAGTTTCAAAAAGGTCGTATTAAAGGAAAAACTAACCGCTCTTTTTTAGCCTTTCTTACTATTGCCATATCCGACCTGTCATCAAAGTACGAGACGCAGCAATGGCACACAATGACCCCTGGTTCCATGCTTCCGTCATCGGAAAATCTACACACCAATCCCATTTCTCCTCGCTCCTCGATCCGCCAATCAATAGGCTCCTTCAATAACCCCGACTCCCCGCAATGTAACCCAGATACCAGTACGGGCTGTTCTGCCAAGCGCTCCATTTCATTGGTTGGACCACCACCAACCACCATTCTAACTGGTCGAATACGCAGGCTCTCCAAGCATAATCTGGGAGGCAGTGAATCTCGAATGAATGCCGGTCAGAACAGCGGTGGCAGCAATGGCAGCGGGGCTTGCAGCGCTCTACTTCCTCAAATTCGATTGGCTGTAAAGTACCAATCGATTGACGTGCTACCGCTACATTGCTACGACAATTTGAGAAAGGTACTTTTTTTAAAAATGTGGTCCAACAATTCCTCCGTCCTCAGTAATCGGTGTGATGAAAGAACAAGTTCAAACCGGGGCGTCGGAGTTTGAAGGAGAAAAATAGCAAATTATAGGATTAAACTGCAGCAATGCTTAAATGGTCGTGAATAGTTCGTCTCACGGGAAATTTCATGGTAGAATTGGTGCCTTGTGCTATGGACTCTACTGATAAACGCACGGCCATCTTCGAAGCACACCATTCATGTTGCCTATCACCGGCTGAGCTGCACTGGGCTGGGAGACTTCAGCCTCGATGTCTGCGTTCACAAAAAAACCTGTTATCTACAGTAACGGCACATTTGACGTCAGCGCACATGCACTGGCTATAAGTTAGACACATGTCACGTACTAACGAAACCATATCCATTGCAGCGGTTAAAAAGTCCCCGTTTCACTTGAACGCCGGCTATAATACTTTATAGATCTAATAAAAAATTAAATTGCTTTTTTGCCTAAGAATAGTGCAATAATGCAATGGTTGTGGAGAAATTTGAGTTCTACAAATTTACAGTTTAAATTATTACGTTGATGGTTTTGTCGCATATAATAGCGCAGAAATGAAAAAGTACTTATCCCCATTCAATCAATCTTGTGTTATCTCAAGGAAAGAAGAAACCGCTTTTCGTTTGTTTGCTTGTTTGTTGCCTTTTATTTCAAGCTCTGGAAACTGGTAGTTACAGCTGATAAACGAGTCTTGGTTAACCGTTACGTCGGAGTTATTGGAAGTGTGAGAAATCTGCCCAAAATTTTGTCTTAAAGGTGGCATATTTCATTGTATAGCCAGTGGTTTCACAGAGAAAAGGAAGCTTTCGCATTGTATTCAGACAATCAGGAATTTAGCTGAGGTAACCAGCTGTCAGGCAGACTAGCTGCCACGTGGATTCAAATTACCTTCAGCTGTGATGCACTTTTTGTCAGAAAAGGTAATTTTTACTGTACTAAAAATTTTTGTGAGGAGAATCTGTCCAAAGGTAAACTCATTTTTCAATGTCTCACTTTCGCACTGGTTTAAATTTAGACGTTGATGGTTTTTTAACGCCGAAAGGTGACGAGAATTTAGGACTAAAGTGACGGACAGATCTTGGCATCCGTCTGGAACTAAGGGAGACGCTGATTCTTGCGACAACTCCTCCCCTTTTTTTCTTCGAAAGAAAGAAGTAGTAAATTTTTTATTCTCATCTTCTTTTAGCTTGTTGTAGAGAAGTCTGCTGAATTTGTGCGGTACCTAGAGCCGCTTTTACCAACTAAAAGGAAGGAGGAGATAGCCCGCTGTCTTGTCAATATTCACGAAAAGACACCGGAAAGTAACATTGCTGCATTTCTCGCTTCTCTTGTCGACCACGAACTGGACACCTCCGGTAAGTTCCCCCGACGTAAGCTGCCGAATTCGGTTTTCTCCTTCCTTTTTTCTTGGAGTCTTTTAAACACATCAAAATTTACAAGTGATGCTAAAATAAGTCTTAAAAGGGGACAGATGAATCGGCCTCCTTGGTGCATGCCTCAAACTTATTGTTTCGGGATTAAGGCAAGCCCGCCTTTAATGCGTAGTTGTAGCCGCCCTTTTTGGCTTCGGTTTTGAGCCCAGCCCTCAGTCCTCCGGGTCGATGATGGCTCTTCTACGCACAAAAATATTGCGTGTCGCATAATGCTAGACACGCAATACTGCTAAACAAGTGAGAACTTATTAAAAACTAGGTGTGTATTTTTGCTGAGTGGAGAAAAAAGAGAGACGGAAAAGGAAAAGAAGCAAATCTATTTGCACATAATGTGACAGGCTGTCCTCGGTGTCTTCGCCAATCCAAGTAGCCGATAGATCCCTTGTCAGATTATGTGAACATAAACGCATACATTTATTCACACCTCCTCATCTTTCCCTATTTGAAGGTGTTCCATTGAAGAAGGAAGTTTGAATTAGCTTGAAGGGAAGTTTACTTACTTCATAAGTGTGCTGGAGAACTTTTTGACACAGGCTAGGCCAGTGACAGAAGAATTAATAATGCGGTAGGAGCATGGATCAGTGGATCTTAACTAACTGGAAGAGATGAGAGTGAATGGAAAGGTCAAAGAGGAATAGATTGATGTGTCTGATGAGTGGATAAACAGGTGGATGGACAGCGTTCAACCTAGCGAGTGATCGAGGCTGTCTTAACGGAAAATTTTAGAAAAAAGTTCCTAATTCATAAAAACCAGAAGAATAGTTGGGTAATTTTTGCCTTCCTGACTCGAGCAAGTGGTCCTTCTTTGTTTCAGACAATCTCTCCCTCCTTTTTCGCTCCAATTCCATCGGTTCAAAGGCTGTCGAATGCTACATCAAATTAGTTGGAGTTGAGGTAAGGAAAAAAACTTATTTGCCGGCAATGAAAATGCAAATTGCACTTTTTTGTCTCTAGAGGCGAAACCCCGCCTGTGCACACCGCTTTCCACAGTAGATTCATTTTGCAACTATGCTTCGCATGCACGGTTGTTTTATGTCAAGACGAGAGATAATCACTTGGACAGTACCGTCCCCTCTTCCTGCCTTCCTTCCCACTATCCCAACGAGTGAATCTCCACATCCACAAGTTTTGGCGTTTGAGGTCTGACTGCCTAGTCGGGAATGAGGATCTCAGACTGTATTTATTATTTGGCGACTGACAAAGGCACTCCTAATGAACGATTGCACCTGCAGTTTTCTGCATGCGCACGCAAAGGAGGCACAATTTTGCGGGAATGAGTTGGTGTTTTACAAGCGGACCACGTCCGTCAAGATTTAAAGGTCACTTCTCTTCAAACAACCCAAACGATGGCGCATTTTTGAGGCGTGCATCAAAGAAGTGAAGAGCACACATATACTACGTGACATACGATAAGCACTTGCTGTTCATCTTCCACACCCTTCTGCTTTTATTTAATGAAGATTTTAATCACTTTGTTCACCACCACCACCCCCACTCTTGACATGTGCTTCTCCAGCATTCTGGGTGTTTCATTGCTTTGTCATCTCACCTATTCAAGGGTGATTTTTTTGACAAGGCGCTCCTGTAACAGACAAGCTTTGCGTAATGGGACATCACAATTGATTGATTGAAGCATATCAGCGCTTTACAATGCCTGCGTATAAACCGACACTCGACTTTTTTAAGTCCCCACCCACTTTACAATAACTCATTACAGTCACCTGTACTGTAAATCGCGCAAGCATTTTAGACCACCCGAAGTGAACCACTTCTATGCGACTTTCCGGCATCCACCGATCCAGTAAATGCGGGCTAGTAACCACACCTTTTTTCCTCGCATCAACAAACCGTTGAAACGAATTAATTAGTTGGCGGGGAAAACTCCTGTAACTCAGTGCCTCTAAACTACCAATTTCCTATTCCTAAGGTGCGCTTGTCTTTATGCATGTGACAAGGGAAAGAAGCTCTCACACTTCGTCACATACACTGTGATTCATTGTCATATTTTTCCGTCTCACCTTCTTTTATTTTGCCCTTTCAGCTGGTGCACTCAACTCGTGGTACTTTCCATCCACCTTCTATTTTAATGTTCATCCTTCTCTTGCAAGGTGGAGAAAAGGGGGACAGAATAGACTTCTTTTTTTATATCAAATGCCTTTTTCCCTTAATTTCTATCCATCCCTTGATTTAGTTGTTCATGAGATTTAACCAAAAATAGCTCGGTTGTTAGGAGATAATGGCCAGTGTATCATAATTTAGACCACCGATTTATGGTGAATGTAAATTTATTTTTCCCTTGCGATGAATGATTTGTGAAAAAAAGAAACCACATAGGAGTATTCAGGAAAGCCTACTTCTCCTAACAATAAATTGATCCACCTTTATTTTTTTCAGTATCTCCGGAAGCTACTTCAAGGCTTTATTGAGAATCTCCTAACTTCCAGTGAAGATCTTGAAGTGGATGCAACTCGGTTAACTACACATTCGTGGTCACCTGCCTCGGAGAGTGGAGACGTCAGCGCGGTTACAGACGCGGATGCACGTATACTCCAAAGGAATCGAATTGCGCTTACGACTTGCGTAAAGACTGTACTTCAGCGATTGCAGGCCAGTCTCGCCTACTTTCCAGCGTAAGATTCCACACCAAGTATTTTCTGTGTAAGATTTACTGACCAATTTGTTGGAATTCCTTCTATTCTTTTTTCTGTAGAGATTTACGTGAGACATTAGCCTCAATCCGTAGAACAGTGGAACAACGGCATGGTCAAGAAGTCGGCGATCAGTTGGTTTCCGGGTGTCTATTCCTTCGTTATATTTGTCCAGCTATACACGGCCCGACACTCTTTGGTCTAACCAACGCCGTTCCCGATGATCCTCGTGTCTCTCGAAACCTTACACTTCTAGCCAAAGTCCTTCAGACTATCGCCAACTTCTCACACTTTGAAGCTAAAGAAAATTACATGCGTTTTTTGAACTCCTTTGTTCAGTCTATGCAGGAGGAGATGCATCAATTCCTTCGAGCTGTCTCTACCTTAGATGATGACGATGATAGTTCAGAGATATGGAAGAGACAAAATACTAATGTGTCAAATTGTCACAGCAATATCGATTTGGGCTATGAGCTTACTGTTCTATACGGTCATCTCTCGGCTATTTTAAAAGAACATCCAAAGGTTAGTCCAGAGGGTATTAAGGCCAAGTCTGTCGACTAAATACCAAATAAGTAGTATTGTGCTATTTTACATTCTTAGGTTCCTGATTGCTTAGCCGAATTGCCAGACATTCTGGCCGGCATTGAACACATGCTTTCAAAACCGTCTCTTCGTCGAAGCCTTTCAAATCTTGCAAATTCAATAAGATCGGGCACTTCAGCCTCCCTGGAAGATGCAGTAGCTATCCGAAATTCGGCCTTTCGTTTCCATAGCACTGTAACTCCGCCGTTGTTAAATGAACTGCAAATAATTCCTGCTGAGCAGCCTTCAACACCGGTGTCGTTTGGCATACCTGGTGGAGATTATGTAAGAACAAGATGACATAACTTTGTAGAGGAAGGTGGGCCAACCTTCCTGACCATTGATTTATCTTACAGACATCAAAGTGTGCTTCTCCCGGTGAAGAACCAAGATGTAGTCTCGAGATTAGCAGTCCGTCTTCAGAAGGTGTGACACGTCAGCAGGCCTTCTTTGGCGAATCTTTTGAACCTGGAGCCGAAAATTCCAGAGGAACCGACCTCGAGTCGATATCGGAGACCGAGGTATGTTTTGATTCCTCAGCACGGATAAGTTTTGCAGTGAGATGGGGGTTTTGACTTATCTTGTAAGATAAAGACCTGTCAATCTTCCTATTAATGTATCGGCTTGTTGTGGTTGTTTTTCAAAAAGAAGGTTTCTTGTACACACAAACTATTCATGTCGTAGTGAACAAAGAGCTGTTAAGGGTGCATGTTTTTGACCTTCAGCTGGGAAATTTATTAGCTGTATTGTCTGAAGTGAACCGCACACTCGCACAAAACCGGACATATTTTTTGAGAGTGAAGTACGCGTACGTGACCGTTAGTTGACTGCTAGACACAGGGTGGCTCCATCCTCCTATATTTGATCCGCCTTGACCTCATAGCGATCTTATAGCAAAATTAATGTCTATCTGTACGCGATCTTGACAAGTCAGGAGGGATTGAACGGGAGGGGGACTTTCTAAAATATTCGGAAATTGGTCTGAAAAAAGAGGAACTTTTTTCTCGCCTTGCAGGTACAGACTTCATCTCCGGTGAATAAAATTTCTACATCACCAACAACACAATTGGGAACCTGCACCACAGCAAACGGAGGACATTATCGTTCTGCAAGTGTTCAACGTCACAAAACTCCACAGACATCAGCGTCTCTGCATCGATGCAAGGAGGTTGAAAAATGTTGCACTGGTAACGGTGGTGGTACTTCAACAGCCAATACCCTACCAACACCTCCACAGAAGTGGTCCAGTGGTCCAGAACTCCACGCGGACTCTCCTGTTATCCTTAATTTTCCACCCCCTCCTCCAGCTCTTCCACAACTGCAGAATGATAAAGGCCTTGGGGGTAGTTCTACCAACATTCGGATGGGGACTCGGGCTCTTCGAATGTCAAGAGAAAGAGACCTAACGGGAAATATTGAAGTAATATATCAAGTTTTCTTGATTTTTCAGTATTCCGCCACTATAGAGAACTCTGTTACTAGGTTTCTGTCACCTCTAGGCTCCCCAAGTCAAGCAAATGTCTCACTGTTGAGCGATTGAGTAAGATTAGGTTTTAAGGCTTCATTTATAAGAAACATTGTAGGTCATCACTCGTTGTTGTACTCACGCACACATCATTGCTTGGCATCTTGAAGAACGTCATCTGATATGGACTAGTCCATCACCAGTACGACAACTGCTACGAGTATTAACGGAACCCCCACTTCGTGTAGCGTCGCTACGGAGGCATCTCTTATAATACACGTAAAATAAAAGTCTCGGCCCAACGTAAATGCGTCTCGCATATTCGACTATGCAGAACTTTGGTCTACCCTTAGCACCTCTTCAGGGAAAACTGAGGTGCAAAAATAGCCCTTTATTCCGTTTTTAAAATCGTATTCTGTGTTGCAGTCAGGAACTTCGACACGAAACGGAGAAGATGGGAGAGATGACGCCCAACTTTCCACTGTCCCTGTCATCTTGCAATGTGAAACCCCCGTTGTTACTGGTGCTCGCACAGCTACAACAGTTCATGGTGCTGTAGACAAAGGAGGAGGAGATGGTAGTGTTCTGTCAGTTGATTCAACTGCCAGCTATGAATCATCCACAGTTTCTTCCTCTTGCCTTTCCATAATGCCTCATGGCAACAATGTTAACACAGTCGGTGCCAATGGCAGAGGTCAAGGTGTCTTCGTGACAGAGAATGCGCATCACTTCGAACTACCGACAAATCGAAGTACATCCGCCGTTATTCAGCGAGGAAGTCGCATCTCGTGCTCAAACACTAACACTACCAACAGCAATAACAATGACCCAGCCCTCCTTAGTCGAGTGCATCGCCTTCTTTTTGGCGGTGGCAGTGGTAGTGGGAATGATTACCAAAATGTAAGGGGTATCGTCAGACCAGCTCCATCAACATCTTCATCAATGAAGTTTGAAGAACAGAGAGAGGAAAAGGAGGTGGATCCACGAAAAGCGGAATCCACTCAGCTGGAGGCACTGCAACAGAGGTGAGCACCTGTC